ATATTTATTTTTGAGATATAATATTTTATATACTAATATTTATCAAAATTACTTTTCTGCGTAAAAATTGCTTATTGTCTTAGATATATCTAAGATATATCTATATTATCTTTTTAAAAAGATGTAATAAGAGACCATCAGAAGCGTGAAAAAAAAATTGTGCTACAAGTTAGAAAGTGATCGTTCCTAAAAAAAAAAAAAATCTCATAAAATCCCAAGCGAATCATATTTTTCACTTTCAGAGCCATTACGTCTCTGTGCGAGCCGACAAGTATGCGCAAATTATCCCCCAGAGCATTGAATACCTGTCGACGTAGAGAGAAGGATAAAGGAGAAGAACGACATTAATCGAATGCGAAATCGTTCGCGCAATAATTGCATCTTTCCAACGTGCCCATTAAACGTCTATTTATATCGCGCTTAATCGCGTCCTACGACAACTCCGGTGAATTATTATTGGAAAAGAATTCCACTACACAACGACCTGTTACACACGGCGATCGAAAAGGCGTGATCGCGATACGATCTGATATGTGTCACCACTAGCGGCGACTTTCACGTTCACTTTCCACATGTTTTTTGTTTCCCCTATCTCTTGTTCATTAATGTACTACTAAATGTCATTGTAAATTAATTCAAGTGAAACCTGAAGAAGAGAAAAGATAGTATCTAACTATCCAGTTAAGCTTATCGCTCATCAAACGATTAACTCCAACAATTTTGTCAATAGACGTGTTAATCTGATAGACATATTAATTGATTCATCTTTATTGTAATATTAAAGTATAAGAATTTTCACATTTCAAAGAATATATTAATCATATAAATATTCTGACCTCAGATTTGCTAATAATTATTAATTTCTGTATAAATTAATAATTATTAATAATTATAATAAAAACATAATAATAATTAATAATAATTCTCAATTTATAGAATAGAATGAGGATTTTAACATGACATATTACTTCAAATAATTTAATACCTGAACGATCTCGTTGCGCGATCTTGCCGATTGTCAAATATAATCAAGATTCACCCCCGAACACACTTTAAACAATTGTATTTTCATATAACTTTGATTATTTTATTATATTTTATTATTATTATATTTATTATTATATTTACTTTTTTTTTATATTTACTCTTTTACTTACTATTTTATTTT